GAAAAGGAAACAGGCCAAGGAGATTTTGAACATCACATTATTAGGATTCGGTGACTACTCATACTCAGGAATCAATAGACACAGGAATTCGAAGTAAGGATGTATAACTAGATTGGAAGCTCAACTTAAAGTAAGAGCCAGTGTGATACCTGGGTAAAAATGAGTAACTGGATCAGCTTGGAGTTGAGAGGAATCAGGAACTAGAAAAGATTGTTAGGTCAGCAAGTCATTGCAGGAGAAAATGAAGAGGAAAGCCCAGGCAGGGATGCAGGATCAATGTGGGCCTGGAAGAGTCAAGAGGATACTTAGTGACAATGGGCTGTAAACCACTTTAAGTGAATTTCTGACTTTAAAGATCTTAATTCTGGCAGATCTGGGGAATAGCATGGACAGGAACAATCAATAACTATTGAGATTGGAAAAAATAAGAGCTACAGTACTTAGAATTGGTACTGTTGTTGACCTGGAAGAAATATTCAGTGGGGACTTGGTAACTATCTGAAGAAATGACATGTAGCCATGATGTGTAAGCCCAGTGAGTGGGAATTACAAAGAGCTATTTCTAAGTGCAATAAATAAATAATATATAGTAAAGGTTTTCTAATAACTAAGAATTACAGTGAATTGAGAATTATAGCACAGGATATAGTGGAAATAGGAGCACGTGAATGGTGGCTGAATGATATCAAGTTTAAGACTCTGATAAAGGAAGATAATTGTGGGGATAGAGTATGTTGAGCAGAAAGGAGTGGCAAACAAGGTCAAGCAGAAGAGGTCAGTCTTTGAAAGCTGGAGGGATGTTTTCTCAGCTGTGTCTTCAAGGAAGAGACAAGAACCCATGTAAACAAAAAGATGTGAAAGGCAAAGGACTTTGACAAAGAATCCTACAAAGGGTTCTCAATCTCCTCAGTAGTTTCCTCACCTTGTGAGTTGGAGCAAGGAGAAGGTGGAAAAAGAACATAAGGCAGGAGAGTAAGCTTTTGCTTTAACTATACAGAGGATGTATAGTTTAAATCCAGGGGCGTGTGTGTGTGTGCGCGTGTGTATGTGTGTTTTTACAGTTGGTTGACCAGAACTAACAACAAAAAGAATTCTTAAAATGCTTCAAATGTGTTCTTTTTTTTGTCCCCCTCAGTGATAGGTATGAGAAGGCCCACCTCTACACAGGTCTTTGGTGTAGCTAGCATTTACTCCATTTCACCTCAGAAAATTGGCTTTTTTTTTTTTTTTTTAAGTTGGTGTCTTTATTAAGATCTCTTCAGCACCTGTTTACTCTCATAGCTGCATGTCTAAAGGGTGAAATTCCTGGGCCTTTCTAACAAAATATTCTTACAAATGTAACCATGAATGGAATGGCTAGCTTAGGACAGCTGGTCAGGCAACTGTTCCAATGGCTGGAATTTGCAACTTTCAGTTGTTTTTTTTTTTTTTTTTTCCTTAAAGATTTATTTATTTATTTTTCTAAGATTTATTTATTTATACAAGCACTGGGTACAGTCAGAAGCGCGGGAGGGTGAGAGAATTCACCAGAGCCAGAGTGTGGAGCAGAACAGGCAGAAAGACCGAAGTACACTGCTGAGGGGAGCAGTGGGGGGCAGGAGAGGTCTGCATGCCATATGGTACCCTTGCCTGGTGGCCGGGGATTGAACCAGCGCTGCAGAGGCTGTGGGCAGCTTCACAACCCAGCGCTCAACTGCTGTGCCACCGGGGAGGCCCGATTTATTTATTTTAATACAAGAGCTGGGGTACAGGCCAGAGGCGCCCGGGGTGGGGGGGGTGGGGGGGTGGGGGGGTGAGAGGATTCACCGGAGGCAGAACAGGCAGATAATAAAAATACACTGCTGCGGGGAGCAGCGGGCATGACAGGAGAGGTCTGTCATGCCATGTGGGATTCTCACCAGCCGAATGGGATCAAACCCTCACTGCAGAGGCTGCAGACAGCTTCACAGTGAGGCGCTCCACTCACTGCGCCACCAGGGAGGCCCTGTAACTTTCAGTTGTTAAGGTAGATTTGGTACCAGAGAAAAGGGTTGAATACCATTTGTCCTGCAGAAGAAGTTGGATTATTTTGGAGGTCTAAAGACAAATCCCTGTCCTTCCTATAGCTTTCTATTCTGGGTGAAGGTGGCAGCCTGTTTGTTTTCCATAGGCTGCAACAGCAGACTGGTACCACACAATCAGAGAAGGCAGCCCTTGGCACCAGCACTTCTAATTCTTTTTATTTTTTATTTTTTTAAAATTTTTTTTAAAGATTTATTGATTCATTGATTGATTGATTTATACATGCATGCATACAAGCACTGGGTACAGTCAGAAGCGCGGGAGGGTGAGAGAATTCACCAGAGCCAGAGCGGGGAGCAGAGCAGGCAGAAGGACCGAAGTACACTGCTGAGGGGAGCAGCGGGCAGCAGGAGAGGTCTGCACGCCATGTGGGACCCTCCTCCGGTGGCCAGGGAGCAGCCGGGGATCGAACCGGTGCTGCAGAGGCTGCGGGCAGCTTCGCAACCCGGCGCTCAACCGCTGCGCCACCGGGGAGGCCCTCTTTTTATTTTTTTAAAGATTTATTTATTTATGGGCCTCCCCGGGGGTGCAGTGGGTTGAGTGCAGTGCTGTGAAGCTGTCCGCAGCCTCTGCAGTGCCAGCCGGCGAGAATCCCACATGGTGCACTGACCTCTCCTGTTGCACCTGCTGCTCCCCACAGCAGTATATTTCAGTTGTCTGATTGTTCTGCTCCCTGCTCTGTCTCTGGTGAATCCTCTCACCCTCCTGCGCCTATGGCCTGTACCCCAGCTCTTGTATAAAAATAAAAATAAATCTTAAAAAAAAAACTTATGCATACAAGAACTGGGGTACAGGCCAGAGGTGGGGGGGAGGAGTGAGAGGATTCACCAGAGACAGAGTGGGGAACAGAATAGGCAGATTGACTAAAGAAACCAGAACAAAACAGCATATACAGTATGATTCCGGTTATAGGTAGTTCAAAAATAGGCAAGAGTGGGCAAAATTGTTATAATAGCAATGGTGACAACAGAAGTTTCAGGTTGGGTCAGAAGGTGCCAGGATTGACCTGCCCACTTCCTTCTGTCCATTCCTATTTCCAATGACAAGCAGTTCCCTCTGGGGTGGACTATCTGAACATGGTTACTCTTTCAATGCCTGTTTAAATGTGCCATATGTATTTTTTGTACTTCCTTCCCCTCCCCCCAGTTAATAAACCACATCCTTTCCAGGTTAGTTCTACTCTCCAACTGCCATTAAGACATCTCAAATTGGTTGCCCCGTGGTCACCTAAAACTCCTCTCCTCTTACTATACTCTACAGATAGCTTCTTTTTCAAGTCAATACCATGAAAACATTTGTCATTACAAGTTGTGCCTTTCCAGTCACTTAATTGTCCACAGTCTGGTTTCTACCCCTGTACAGCTCTGAAACGTTTCTCCAATCTTACTAAATGACTTCCTTGTTGCAAATGCAAAAGGCATATTTCACTTTTTTTAAAGATTTATTTATTTATACAAGAACTGGGGTACAGTCAGAGGCACAGGATGGTGAGAGAATTCACCAGAGACAGAGTGGGGAGCAGAACAGGCAGATTGACCAAAGACACTGCTGAGGAGAGCAGTGGGCGAGGCAGAAGTCTGCTGCGCCATGTGGGTTGCTGCTCCCTGGCCAGCCGGGACAAAGGGCACATTTCAGTCCACAATTTACCTGATCTTTCACATTTAACAGAGTTCTCTCCTGGTTTCCTTCTTTCATTTCTGTTTGCCCCTTCTCAGTGTCCTCTTTTTTGGCTTTATTTCCTTCTCTTAATAATGGTGATGTTATTTTCTTCTAGGTCATCTTATTCACTTCCATAGCGTCAAAAACCATGTATACTTTGCACAAGAGCATACCCTCAATCCTTTCTTTTTTGGGTTCCCAAGCCACACTATGTAATATTCAATTGCCCGCTGAGGGTATGTCATAGACATCTAAATCTCATTTTCGCCTCCCAAACAAAAAGGAAAATGGCACATTATCCCCCAATTGTCAAAGTCAGAACACTGGGAAGTGTCTTGGAGTCCTTTCTGCCTCGTACCCATTTCCGATCTACTTTCCCACCGGCACTTCCCCTTCGATATAGTACAAAACACTGACATCTGCCCGGATAAGAACTTCGCATTTTTACTGGCCTCTGACTTGGTCCCTTCCAAACCATTCTCCCTACTGCAATCAGCGATCTGTTTAAACTGCAAATATTGTATAATCGTTCACTCAGCTAAGACTCTTCAAAGCCTATTCATTGCCCTTCGGATAAAATCCACTAATTTACCAGGCCTTGCGTCACCCGGTCCCTCCCACGCTCAGGCTCATCCTTTACCTCTTTAACTACATCAGGCTGCGGCAGCTCCGAGCGGGCCCGGCCCCCGGCCCCCCAACCCCAACAGACCGCCGGGATTCGGCTCAGGCGACACTTCCTTAGGGAAGCTGACGCTCAGACGGCAAAACTAAAGAATGAAATCCGAGAGGTCACTGGAGCAGAGCTTTCCGCCCCGGCCTCGGGTTACGGAACGTCCGGGTTACCAGGAAGCTGAGGGCAAAGGTCAAGCCGCATCACGAACTTCCCCAGTACGCCCGGCGCCCGACCCTGGAATGGTCCTGGGATGGTCCCCGTGCACACACGGCTGTCAGTGCCCGTCTCTCAGTGCTTCTGGGCGCGCCAGCAGCGGGATCCGGCGCGCACGCGCTCGCTCCTCTCCCACCCGTACGGTTCCCAGAACCCCTGTAGAAACGCCGGCGTTGCCAGCTTGCCCCAAACCAAGATGGCTGCCGCTCCCCTTTCTCCCCTCCGAGATGAAGCCATGCACTGTCGGCCAACGCTGCTGCCAGGCTGCCCTCACCCATAATGGCCGCCCCACTCATGCCTCGCTATGGTCCCGAAGCCGCCGCTCACCGGCCAGGTTCCGGGAGGCGCCGCTCCCGACGCAGTCGCCCGGCCGCCCCGCCCGCTCCCTTCCCCCACGCCCGCGGCGGCGGCGGCGGCGGCGGCTGGAGCCCGGATGCGGCGCCGGGAGGCAGGCCCGGGAGCGGCGCGGATGGATCCAACATGGCGGCGCCGGGCTTGAGCCGAGAGTGAGGCGGCGGGGCGGCCGGCGTGGGGAGGGGGAGTCGCGGGGCGGGGCGGGGCCGGGCGGGGCCGCCGGGTTGGGGAAGGAAAGTGGCGGGGGAGGCGGCGGCGACGTCCAGCCGCGAGCCCGGGCGGGAGGTGACGGGACGCTCAGGTGGGGGAAGGGAGCGTTGGGGGACGGGCGGGGGCGGGGGCAACTGTGGGAGCGAGCAGGGGTCGCGGCTAGGAGCGGCGCGGGAGGGGCGTAAACAAGGACGGCCGCCGGGCCGGGCCGGGCCGGGCCGGGGTGTCTGGAGGCCGAGGTGGGGAGCGGGGCTGCGAGCCTACCGGATCGGGAGGTAGGGGCGGAGGCAGCCGAGGGGGTGAGGCGAGGGGGCGGCGGCGTGCGGCTGGGAGGGGGCTGGACTCCCGGGATCAGGGTCGTGAAGAGGTGGGAAAAGGTGAGAACGGGACCTGAGACGTTTGGGGGGAGGTTTTCAAAGTGTTAAATTGGAGAGAGGGGGAAGGGCCTAGGGGAGAATTGGGGTGGAAAAAGGAGAGAGCGGAGGTTTGGGGGAACGGAGAGCGTGTGGAGGTGACGAGGTAATGGAGAAAGTGAGAGACGAGGAGGAAAGTTTGGGAGGAAGGGGAATGAGGTGGGAGATAGGACGGGAGCTGCCTGGGTGCTGGAGGTCCGGGGCTTTCCCTTTCCCTGTGGGAAGAGAGCAGAGTTGAGCAGCATCAGTTGCGGCCAATTCTAATTGCCAGGCCTTTAGCTTTTAATAGGGTGGGCAGGGCAAAAAGGAATGGTCATGTGGGTTTGGAGAATTGGGGTTGGATGAGGGTTCAACTGGCTTTGCTTTCGGGAGGCTCCCTAGCTTCCAGTTTGTTTTTCCTGGTTATTAAGAGAAGGGAAAATAGGGCAACTGGTGTACTGGAGTATGGAAGGAGTAAAGGACTTTGCTAGTTTTTAGCACTTAGCAATGCAAGAATGAGGAAACAGTGTGCTATGTTGAAGCCTTGTATGCTGAGGTGTGCAGACTCTGGATGTCTGCGAAAGACAACAGAAAACACAGAATCGACCTTTGAGGCAGCCAGGCTGCTTAAATTAGCGCGTTGCTTTCTGCACTCTTCTGTTAAGTGTTAAGAGGTCAGTATTCATATATAGGAAATTCATATGTAGAAAATAGCCCCCCGTGAGGCGATGATTTATCAGTGGATGCTGCCCAGTGCATATTTTGTTCTCACTGTGTGCGAGTTAAGGGACAGGGTGAAGAGAGAATTTGGAGGATGGTTCTAGTTTGATAATGAAGTGGTGGAAAGAAGGTGCTTCTGTGGCTGTAATCACTTTCTTTCCAGATGAAAGTCAACATTAATATGGTAACAAAATAGGTGGATCTCATAAGGAAATGAGGAGTCAGGTGAGGAGGTGTCCGAGAATAATTGGTTGCCCTGTTAAGTTGTTGAGTTTGGGACCTTTTTGCATTGAGACTTTGAGGCTGAAAATTCTTGAAGTTGATATTGTTTTGTGAATTGGTCAGTAGAGTTAGGGAAGCTTGGAAATTTTGTTGGGGGAGGGGATTGAGTTCTCTCAGCTTGGAATGGATCATTTCAATTAAAATGGCTTTAAGCTTGCAGCTGAGATTGACTAACTCTTTGGGTTTTGAGGTTTCAAAATAAAGCTTGAAAATTGACTCCCTCCCCACCCCACCCCCATTTGTTTTTGTTTTGCTCCTGGCTTTGAACCTTGTGCTAGGAAGAGACCTGGGAAATTAAGGTTTTTGCAGAGGTAAGTCTGGAATTTAAACTGTTTTCAAACAAAGGCAGGGAATGGAAATGGCTTGAGAAATGTATTTGGGATTGAGCCCAGGAATGGGGTAGATGCCAGGGAAAATGAGTTTTCACCCATCCAACTGAGTGCATAAGATCTATTGCAGTCACTTTCTCTTAAGGTAACTGGATGTAGATAGGAGGGAAAGGAGAGCAGAATTAGATGTTTTGGAGGCTCCCAGCTTTGCTTTGTTGTTCTCTAGTCATCTTGGTCAGCTCCAAGGGAATCATTTTTTTTAACATATGGAAAGTTGTACTCTAGTACAATGTCTACTAAATGTTGCCCATGGAGGGCTGCTGAGGCTCTTTCCATAGAAGGCTTTTTCCTTCATCTTATTCTTTCTTCTAGTTGTTCGTGGTTCCTGGAATCTTCCTTTTGAGAACCTGCTATGTAAATTGGACTTCCAGATACTGGTTACATTTTCCTAGTCCCACCAGCAAGAAAACGCTATGTACTCTTTACATATTGAAGGTTTCCATGTTTTCAGGTTTCAAGACACCGTTCTCTTTTATTTCTTCCACATGACTTTCATCTGAGGATTTCTGAGAGAGTCAAATACTCCTAGTTTGCCTGTGGAGATAAGATACGTTCTTGTTGGGATGAGACCAGACTATTGTTTTCATTTCCAGACATCACTTTTATTTCTTCCACATGGCTTTTCTCTAAAGGCTCCTGAGAGAGTCAAGTCCCTCAAAAAATTAAATAAATAAACAAATAAATACAGATATTATCCTGGTAGATTTCTAACCTCAAGCTAGACTTTACTTGGAGTTAAAAACCTAATGGAGAATGTGCAATCAGGAGGAAATCCTGTAGCTGTTGATCTTTGACTGTCTTGGACCTCCCTGAAACAAGTAAACAAACTAGAACTCTGGGAAATGCAAAAATTCATTAGAATAAAGAATTGTTCTTGGGAAACTGTTTTGGGGGACCTACGGGTTATTGGACCCAACTAAGCCTTCAGATCGGGACCCTGTTTACTGGAATGTTTGTTTTTTGGTATCTGGCAGTATTTCAGACATCAAGACTCAGTAGTTCTCTCTATTCTGCTTAGAGGATGCACATTCTCCTTACTACTCTGATACCTTTCATCTTGTATCTACATAATTTAAGTTCCCTTACTTCGCTGCCACAGAAAGCTGAGTATATTAAGATGAGGTTGGCCATGTTCTTTTCATGCTGAAGTTAGGTTGATTCTTGGAACCCCCATCTGGATTGCTGAGTGAATGAACTCACCATTCTGGAAGATAATTAAGCCTGCATGCCTGCTTCCCAAGGACATGGCCTTGGAAAACTTGCACCTCTTAAATATTTTGCTTCATTCAATAAGCAGTGTAGTTTGATCAGCAGCCTAATAGGAAAGTTCTGCTGCTGGTCTAGTTTCAGTACTTAAATCGCTGTGAGGCTTGAGGGCAGGATCCTTTGTGTCTGTTTTACAGAGGTTGGTATTTTTCTTCATAAAGATCGGATTGAACCAGGTCAGATTAGACCTCCTGGGATGGGACAGAAGGGGCGGTAGCCCTACCACCTACTGTTCATCTGAATGGCAACAGCAGGTAATGGAGGAGCTAAGGTGGGAGAGAGATGGAATGCCGCCTTGGTGCTGGTTAGAATTATGAGCTAAGTGAGTCTGTGTGTGACTTGTTTTGTTTTCTTTCTGGAATATTGTTTGATGGGTTTAGGTCAGAGGGACCAAAGGGCTTCCTTCTCCAAGGCTAGGGTGGAAAGTGACATGCTATATCTGTTCCTTTGACCCTTTATTGTGCTTCATTTAAAATAGGGTTTCTCGGGCCTCCCCGGTGGCACAGTGGTTGAGTGCTGGGTTGCGAAGCTGCCCGCAGCCTCTGTAGTGCCGGTTCGATCCCCGGCTGCTCCCTGGTCACCAGAGGAGGGTCCCACATGGCGTGCAGACCTCTCCTGCCACCCACTGCTCCCCTCAGCACTGTGCTTCGGTCCTTCTGCCTGCTCTGCTCCCCGCTCTGGCTCTGGTGAATTCTCTCACCCTCCCGCACTTCTGACTGTACCCAGTGCTTGTATAAATAAATAAAAATAAATAAATCTTTTAAAATAAATAAATAAATAAAATAAGATAAAATAAAATGTCCCAGGATGGGGAGATTGTACCGCTGGTCTAGAAGCTCCAATAATTCTTGCACTTTCAGTGATCTAACCTGGAATCCAGAACTTATCAGTGGCTTATTTTTTGTTTTTTTTTCTCAAATGTAGGGACTTTACCCTTCCTTTGAGGATTAAGGCCTATTTGGAAGTACAACCATTAATACATAATTAGGACTATAGTGCTTTCCTCTTCTGCCTCATTTTCCACTGGTCTGGTATGTGGGGATATAGTTTTTCATTTCCTGGGATTTATAGTCAGGACACTTTGAATCAGGGAGATCTGGAGCAACCTGTTGATTGTGAATTCTGACCAACATCTCTGAGATCCTCACAGCAGCTGGCCAAAGGGAGCAGGTGGGGTCAGGAACAAGGAGAAGTTGTAATGAGAGGTTCAGTCCTCTCATGTTGTCTATGAGCAAGACGTTACTTTCCTTCTGTCCCCTGCATTTGTACCCTTGTCTGTAGCAGGTGAAATGACAGGAAATGACAAAAGAAACCAGCCTGTAGTTGAATAGCTATTTTCCCAGCTGTTTCCCATGCTTTGGGTGGGGCATCTGGACTTTCAAATTTGGGCATGGGTTAGATTTCCTGTGTACATGTCAGTAGCCAGGGCTTAGGGCTGATTCCAGGGTGTATCTCCCTTTTTCTGAAGGGTACGAGTCTTTCCAAACTTCCACTGCAGGATCAAAGAGGAGGAATTGGCTTCTCTGAAGTAGCTTTTCTTTACTCTTTCTTAACTTACTCTCAGTGTCTTGGTATGTAAAGTGGACAGAAGAACTTCTCTCATTGTTGAGTACTGTGAGGTGGGTAGTTTTGCATAGACTAGGGGAGGCTAGGGCTAGGCAGAGTGTATCCTGGTAACTTAGTTGTGTGTATCTATTTTTAATGGGATCCTCTTGCTCTTGGACTTACCTGAGTTCGTTTCTTAAATGGTATTGGTTATGGTGACCTCTCGGATGTTAAGGTCAGTTCAACAGTAGGTGGCTCCTACTCTGTGCTTGCCTCTATCAGTTGCTAGGCACTGGAAATATAAAAATGATTATGACTTAAGTCCTTTGATAAAAGTTGCTTAGGGTCTAACAGGATAATAAATGCATAGACAATTTAGTACACTTTGATAAGTGGTTTAAAGAAACTATACACAGTGTTCCTCAAAGGACACTGAAGAGGACTACTTATCCCAGCATGGGGGTGTAGAGAATGAATTTGAAGATGGCATCTGAGCTGACTGAAAGGATGAGTAGGAGTTAGCCATCTGAAAAAGGGTGGTGATGGGGGGTGTGGAACAGAGAAGGCAGGGGGGATTCAGACAAAGGGAATAGTCTGAGGAAAGGTATAGAGAAATGAACTGCATGATGTATATGAATTATAAACTGTGGGTAGAGAGCAAAAAGTGGGTTATGAGGTTGAAAAGGTAGGCAGGGCCTGATCTGGAGAGTTTTGGTGTGTTGTATAAGGAATTTGAAGTGTTCTTACAGGTAAGGAGGGGCTGTAGATAGGTCTTAAGGAGAAAAGAGACATGGTCAGTTGTGCATTCTAGCTAGTTGATTCAGGTGGGTGTGGGGTGGGTTTAGGTGGGTTAAGATTGGTGGTAAGGAGAGCCCTTGGAAAGGACTGTTGCAGTAGTCCAGGTGAGATTATGGGAACTGGAACCAGGTCAGTGGCAGCAGAGTTGAAAAGGTGAGGCAGATTTAAGAAATATTTAGAAGTTGCATTAACAGGCATTTCTAATTGATTGGGTGATTGGAGGTTGTGGTCAGAGGATGGAGTGGTGTGTGTACTATCTGGCAGGGCAGTAAGTTTGAGGGACTAGAATGGAGGAGAAAGTTGTGGGACTTAAGAATTGGTTATTGACTGGATCATTGACATATTGACATAACCCAGGATGATGGAGGAGCCTTGTGAGTGAAATGCCAAATTTTATAATGAATGTAGAAATGTGATCAGTCACTGACAGGGGATTGGTAAATGGTGACCATAAGGTATGGTAAGAAGGTAAGGTTAGGCATATCCACATGGGGTGTGAACATCAAGGGAGTACAAATGGCATAGGAGAATTGTAAGAATGTAATGTAGCAGCTTAACGTTTGTTGACTTAAATCCAGCAGTTCTGGTGAATATTATTGATCAACTTTCTGAGCAGTTACACTTCGGGACCTGGTTGGGTTATAGGCAAAATTAAGGATAGGTTACTGGAGGGATGAGTCTGGACTGCAGAGATCAAGAATCTTATCTTTGTGAAATCTCTTTTACAACCATTTATATTAAATTAATAACGTGATTTCACATGTAATTTCTCATTGGATTCTTTACAAGTCTGAGAGTTATGTGTATTGATGAGAACACTGAAACTTTGAAGAGAAGTGACCTGCTTAAGGCCACACAGTTTAGTGTGTGACTGGTTAGAACTACCAGTTCCAAGATTTTCAGTTTCTTTACTCTGTCCCTGCATTCATCCCATGCAGCTTCTGTATTTGAGTTGAGTGAATTATTTACTTCATCTCTATTTAGCCTACATTTAAGAGGTGAGCTGGTGGCAGGAGGGTGAGAGATGGGAAGAACAGTTCTCAAGGGATCAAAAGCAGTGTTTTGGAGGCAGGAGGAACAATCTGGCTATCTAATAGCAATTTCTGTTGAATGTATAGTGCTAAAATTGATATAAAGTCAGTTAGGGGAGGTGACTATATTTCTCCAGAGGGTCTAGACTTGGTGTGGCATTGTCTATGCTTTATTTTTATTTTAAAATGTAATAAAGATACAAGTAAATAAAAGTTAATACTTATTAAGCACCATCCTGTGGCAGGCATTGTGTTAGACACTGGGAGTATAGGAATGAATAAGACTAATTCTGCCATTGAGTGGTAATGGCTTTTTTCCTTGTCCTTACAGTAGAGTGGGGATTGCAGCTGCTGAGCAGGGGATCTGGAAGGTATTGCACACCTGAGCCCCCAGCATGGCCGGCCTAAAGCGGCGGGCAAGCCAGGTGTGGCCAGAAGAACATGGTGAGCAGGAGCATGGACTGTATAGCCTGCATCGCATGTTTGACATCGTGGGCACCCATCTGACACACAGAGATGTGCGTGTGCTTTCCTTCCTCTTTGTGGATGTCATTGACGACCATGAGCGTGGCCTCATCCGAAATGGACGCGACTTCTTATTGGCATTGGAGCGCCAGGGCCGCTGTGATGAGAGTAACTTTCGCCAGGTGCTGCAGCTGCTGCGCATCATCACTCGCCATGACCTGCTGCCCTATGTCACCCTCAAGAGGAGACGGGCTGGTGAGGGTGCATTGGGGGCTGGGACCACTGGCATTGGGAAAGTTGTGGGAATCCAGGTGGGAGGCGGCATTGGCCCTGGGAATAGTGAGAACTTAATGAGGCCCTTTAGGGGGTTGCACTAGAAGGGAGGGCTGCTTCTTTTCCTGAATGACTCACTTTCCCCCTACAGTGTGCCCTGATCTTGTAGACAAGTATCTGGAGGAGACATCTATTCGCTATGTGACCCCCAGAGCCCTCAGTGATCCAGAACCGAGGCCTCCCCAACCCCCTAAAACAGGTGAGAAGATACAACTCCTCTAATTTTTTTAAAAAGATTTATTTATGCATGTAAGAGAACTGGGGTGTAGGCCAGAGGTGTGGGGCTGGGGGGAGGGGTGAGAGGATTACACCAGAGAGAGTGGGGAGCAGAATGGGCAGATCTACTGAGATACACTGCTGAGGGGAGCAGGAGAGGTCTGCTGCGCATGTGGGCTAGCTTCCTGGCCGGGGATTGAATTCATGCTGCAGTGGCTGGGGATAGCTTGGTAGCACTGAGACTTTAACTCCTGTGCCACCAGGAAGGCCCAGCTCCCCTAATTTTTCTAATCAAGTAAGAGGATACAGAAACTATCATATTCCCAGATTTGCCTAAGAGAAAGGACACTGTCCTGTCCCGTTCCCCCCGTGCCAATATCAAGCCCTGTAAAAACCTGGTTGAGGTGGCAATGCGTCTCCTAGTCCTTCAGTTGTTCTTATATTGTGTCCTTTTTGGAGTCACGTTGATACTGCTCTTAGTGCTAAGAAGTGTTTGGATTTCTGCTTTTACCCTACTGTGTCTACCCCTTTACCCTGTCAGTGCCTCCCCACTACCCTGTGGTGTGCTGCCCCACTTCCGGCCCTCAGATGTGTAGCAAGCGGCCAGCTCGAGGGAGAGCCACACTTGGGAGCCAGCGAAAACGCCGGAAGTCAGTGACACCAGATCCCAAGGAAAAGCAGACCTGTGGTGAGGAGGTTAAAGGGTTCCAGAGGTGGAGTAGACTCAGGGGGAAATGGAAGGAACTGCAGGCAGTGGGCAGATTTCACTCCTCAGTGCCAGGGTTACTTTGATCACTGTCACTGGTTGATTCAATCTCTGGGGAGAATTCTTCTATCTTTGTGGCAGAGAATATGTCAGCTTGGTTGCTGTTATAACATCGTGGTTGTAGGATGAAGCAGTCATTGACAGGGTCAAAATGAACTGTGCCAATTAACTAGAATACCTGCTGGAGGCCAGTGCTGTTGTGACTGATGGGGGTAATCTGATGTGGGCCCTACCCCATTTAAAGGCCCCTTCTAAGATACATAGGAAAGAACTAAGTAGTACTGGGGAAGAGAGAGGTCTTTGGGCAGGTGATGTGCCCAACTTTACGCCCTGCTGTTCACGTCAGCCTTTCAAGCCTGGCTTGTTCTCATCCCTCACAGCCATCTTTTTTTTGCATGTTCTCTTCTATAGACATCAGACTGCGGGTTCGGGCGGAATACTGCCAGCACGAGACTGCTCTGCAGGGCAACGTATTCTCCAACAAGCAGGACCCACTAGAGCGCCAGTTTGAGCGCTTTAACCAGGCCAACACCATCCTCAAGTCTCGGGACCTGGGCTCCATCATCTGTGACATCAAGTTCTCTGAGCTCACCTACCTCGATGCATTCTGGCGCGACTACATCAACGGCTCGTTGTTAGAGGCACTTAAAGGTGTCTTCATCACAGACTCCCTCAAGCAGGCTGTGGGCCACGAAGCCATCAAGCTGCTGGTGAACGTGGATGAGGAGGACTATGAGCTGGGCCGACAGAAACTCCTGAGGAACTTGATGCTGCAAGCATTGCCCTGACCTCCCCCTCACTTCTCTGGGGACTGTTCCCACCACCCATCTCTGGAGCTTACATACTGTTCTGGGGTTTGTTCTCTACCCTTCCAACCAATCACACCCCTGCCTTTTTTTTTTTTTAAGGAAAAGACAAAGAAAAATGGAAGTGGTGTCCCCCACCCTCCCTGCACCCATGTGCCTGGGGTCCCCTGTTTCCCTTTTCCACTGACCCCCAATGTGTGTGTCTACAGCCACCTTACCACTGAGCCATAAGACAAATGGATAGGGAGAAGCAAAGTCTACAGAACATGGTCTTTATAAAGGGATTGACGTGAGCACCGCTTGGGGTACACCGAGGGGGTGTCAGTACTTCTGGCTTTAGGAGGGTTCTTCAACTTTGTTTGAAAAACCAAAGGGCTGTGAGTAAGGGAGCCGTGTGGAAGGTGGGGCTCGGAAGTGTATTTTGGAAATTAATCACCACCCTCTCCCAAATTACAGAGTTTTTAAAAAAACAAAGACGCTGTGGCCCTCTCCACTCTCTCCTAGCCTCTGGTGCTGCTCCTCTGTCTCCTCTCCTCCATTCCATGGTTGAAACTTCTGCCTGGTGTGGCTCCTTCCTTTCCCCTTTGCCAGACCCTCTAAGGAGGACTGGGTAAGAGGACTAGGTCAGCTTGGCCACCTCCCGGCTGTGGTGTATGTGTACATGCACAGAATGGATGGAGAAGAGACTGCTAGTTAAAATACACTCCCCCTGGAAAGGGGAAGGGGGAGTGTACTTCTTTCCTGCCATGTTCACGTGAAAATAAATAATGTATCCTGTAGCCCTTTCCCCCTTTGCTTTCTTCTGGCTTGGGCAAAGGGCATCATAGGTGGAAGTGAAATAATTTAGTTTCAACTTCTGTTCCCGTCCCCATCCTTGACCCCATGCCCAATCCCAACGTGGGAGAATAGGGCTGGGACATGCACTGAGTGTGGCACTTTGATTTTGGTGGGGAGGCATGCTGATTGAGCCAGGGGGCCTAGAACAGGGGCCTAGTCCAGCTGGTACCATCCCACCTCCCCTTTCAGTTCCCAAAGGAGATGTCCGGACACAGACTTCATGATTATATTTTTTTCTATGCCAGTGCTGTTCAGCCCTCAGCCTGATTTCAGTTTTTGTGAAATAAACAATGACTATATAAAATTCCACCTTTCTGAAACTCAAATCTGAGCTCAGGTGAAAGTTTCTTCTTTCCCAAGAAGCTGAGCCTGTGCTCTATCAAGTCAGTCAAGGGCCCAAGTGAGGAGATGCGCATGATTTCTGCTTATAAGTCACAGCAACACCAGCTTACCATGGGGGTCTCAACTCACAGAAATGCAAAGTCCTAAGACAATGCGTGACCCAGACTGCCATAGAGGTCATGCCTTCGGTGCTGAAACACAGGCAGGTGTTGGCGCAACTGTCGTAGATAATTGAGGTCAATTCGGGCAAGGCAGAGGCCCGGTCCCTCAGAGCATCGAGCCACCACTGTTCCCCAGGGATCTACCACCATGCTGTGGCCATAACTTGCTCTCTTCTCATGATGGCGTCCACACTGTGCGGCTGCCACTACATAGCACTGAGTTTCAATGGCACGGGCCCGGAGCAACACCTGGGGATGAGGGAGAAGCATTCATTTAAGTGCATGTGGCCCATAGGGGATAAGTGACATGCCACTCTACCCAATGTGATTCTTATAATGGCATAGGAATGATTTACTATGTGAGAGGCAACAATGTGGGGAGTTTTCCCATTAGGTAAGAAGACCATCTTTCAAATGGTAGAGCCAAGAGAGGAGACTGAGGTTAAGGGAAGGCTCTTAAGTTTTGAAGAGGTGCCCTCTTACCTCCCAGTGTGCTGGGCCTGTAACAGATCCAAAAGCTGAAGGGTAGGTAAGTATTTCTGCTCCAGCCTGAGCCAATGCCAGAGAGAGTTCAGGGAACCGCATGTCATAGCAGACAGCTAGGCCAATCTGGAAAAAAGCAACCTGCTTAGTCCCCTCCTCCCCACATACTGTTTATCACAGTACCTTGGTCATATCCCAGCCACCCCATTCCTTAGGGCTTTCTATAGTACCGCTTTATAAAGTATTCCTATTCTCTCCCTTGTTGCTTTCACAATTCCCACCTTGCCTGCTGGTGTGCTGACAGGTGACTCAAGACTAGGCCCAGGCATGGTAGAGTTGCTCTCATGCATAGGTCCTTGCCCTGGAACCTCTACATCACACAGATGCGTCTTCCTGTATGTGGCTACTACTGACCCTAGAGTAAGAGAGAGAGGGGATACTTTTTGTATTCTTCTAGAAGCTCAGCTTAGTTTCTCTCAAGGAGGAACAGAATTACAAATATCCAAAAAGCCAAGGAAATATAGCTGAGAAACAAGAAAATTCTTAAGAATCTAAGTTTAGGTAGAATGTGTCCAGGAGAGAGGCTAAAGAGAGAACATCTCACCCTTGCTGTTCAGAAGCACATGACAATTGTAGATTTTCTGAGTCTGCTCCCAATCTTGGCCACGCTCATGGAAACCACCCAAGGACAGCCAGAGTCCACATTCCCTGGGGGGAAGGGACACTGACAGCTCTTCTCATGTCTGGCACTCCAAGGACATTGCCCAACAAATTAACTACCTCTACCTCTTCCTCCCCATCCCTGATACCTGGCAAGCTGGGTATATTCTCCCAAAAGGTTCCCACCCAGTGGCTCAGAAAGGCGTAGTGTCTCCTCAGGGTCCCGGGCAATGAAGTCGAAAGCCTCAGGCAGGAAAGCCAGGCAGGCGCCCAATCTGGCAGCTTCTCGAACCAGCTCAGCACAAGTTTTAAAGTTCTGCTGCTTATCTGGTGTTGATGTTACCTGGCACACGGCCACTAGGGGCAGTTCCCAGGAGGAAGAGGAGGTAGCCATGGGTCTGGCCCTGTGAATGACACAGGAAGTCCTCAGATTTCTAAGCATGGGAAATCCAGGTTTAATGATAAGGGGGCTCAAGTGGGTAGGCAGGAAGGCTGCACTTCCATTTGAATTTTAGAGGGCACAATCACCCACCCACCAATCAAATGTTCTGTGAATGGCTGGCACCCGTATTTCCCAACACCCATTCACATAACTTTCATCGACAATCTATGCGACAGGTACTGGGGGCACAACAAAACATTACACATTACCTGGGCTGAATACCAAGCGCCGGTAGTCGAGGTGTCCGGAGTCCGGGACACAAAAGAATAGACAGCAGCTGGTGAGGAGGCCTGATGGTGAAGCCCAGCCTGAGGAAGAAAAGAAATCAGGACACCCAGCCTTTCCTCCAGCAACACATTTCTAGAACTCTGATTTGTCTCTTTACACGGTGATGATGAAACAGGCCCTGCCAAGGAAAAACAAGCACTCAAAATTCTTTACTGTGCGTAATTATGGGTCACCGGGAGAGACCATAAAGTCAGAAGACACAGGAAGGGGCTCTTGCGGGCATCCGAATTAAATACCTCCACTTCCGTGATCTTACACTAAAAGGAGACCCTTTCCCTGCCAAAGATTTCCTCAGTTAAAGTCATCTCCCAGAGACACTCTTCTCGGTCGTGCACCTGCACAGCCCCTTCCACCAGATTCTCTGGGGACGTTCGTTCCCCCGGGCCCTGCGTGCAGGTGTCCGGCCGCCCACCCCCGCCTCTCCCGGGCGCGTCTCTGTTGCATAAGCCAGAGCACCGCCGCGGAACCCGCCGCAGTTGCCGAGGGGAACAGGTCCTACATGTAGAGCAAGCAGCCGCCACTCGCAGGGTCTGAAGGCTCGCGGCGCGAGGAGGTAAGGCGCCGGCCAGGGGGCGGAAGCCGGCAGGAAGTGACGCGCAGGGGGCGGGTCTGCTACCGGAAACCACGGGCGGCGAAGATGGCGGACGGCAGCGGGCGCGCCGGCAAGAGCAGCGGCAGCGGCGCGGGGAAGGGGGCGGTGTCGGCGGAGCAGGTAGGCCGGGAGGCGGCTCCGGCGGATCGGGGTCGGTGTGCGGGAGGAGGGCGCGCCTGCGGCTGCTCGGGTCTGCCCTGCAGTCCCGCGCTGCGTGGCCACCCCGAGAGGGAGGGTCCGGGAGAGCCTCACTGGGCCCCGGTGCTGGTGGGCGATGGTTGGTGGCCGCGACCCCTCAGGTGCAGGGGTGGGGGCAGGGAAACCGAAGTGCGGGTCCCGTTGGATGGGAACTCTGTATGTGGGGTACTGCGGGTAGCCCTAGGTGCGAGACCCCCAGGGGAGGCCCGAATTGAGAAGGAGGAGGGAAGTTCGATATGGGGGCCGGGGTTATGCTTAGATCTGAGGGGAATCGGATGGTCACTTTCCTGTTCCGCACTCTCACATGGGAAATGACCGGGCGAGGCGGTTCTACCTGAGCCCAGGGGATTAATCAGCGACTGTTCGTGGGGTCTCTTTCGTGACCCTGAAACCACGTTGACAATTGCCGTCACTCTGCAGAGCCACGTGACTCACATACTCGAACAGTCTAGTGTTGCATCGTATTTGATTCGGGAGTCGTCATTAGATTGAATCTTTTCACAGACCGGGAACCCCTTTGTAATTCGAATTTGCATTTCCCCCAGCGCCTGGCACCGGGGAATGTTGATAAATTAATCATAAAACCCCTTGTGGCTGGGGAACCATGGCTTGTTAGTAGCGGGGCCAGTGTTTAATGGGGATGAGAAGAAATCTATGTAATAGAAAGGAAAACATAGTTAAACAGGATCTCTTTTAAACATGCTCGTTTATCAATTACCAGTTAAATGGTTACCACAGGCGAAAGAATCTGCATAATTAAAGGAAAAAAACTGCCCTTACCCTCAAGGAGATCATACTCATAGTCAGGTGAGGGAAATAAAACATATAAAATGCTAATATGGGACAGAAGATAACTGTCCTAAGAGGTATAAAATTCTATGGAATTTTGGGTAGGGGGACGAGATAGTTCCTGATTTAAGGGCAAAAAAGGGAAGAGAGAACAAGCCTAATACTTTTTTAAGCATCAGTGCCAGGATCTCTGCTGGGTGAAGGGAAATAGATAAATGAAATAGACCTTGTTTTCAGGTTAGCTCACAGACTCCCAGACAGATTTGAGAAAAGACCAAACTATAAGATTAATATTGTTTTTCACAACCTCTTTATAGCAGCTAGAGGAGGGACCCTAACTAAGCAGAAGGTTATGGGATTTGGGAAAGGGAAGGGAAGCCTCCGTGTAGTGGGCTGGTAAAGAGCGTAGGATTGTGCACTGGGGCCTACAAACCTGGCTTTGAATCACCATTCTTCTATTTCCTATCTATAGATGACCTCCCATGAGTTACGTCTATTGGCCTTCCCCTCCTGTATTAGTGTAGTGGTACCTATGTTATGGCTGTGTTTTGGTTATTAGGCATGATGGTAGTGTCAGGTGTTTTACACAATGAAATATTGTACATGTTTAATAAATGCTATTTATTTTGTTTCCTAGGAAAGATAATTCTTCAGCTTAATTCTAAAGGATATAGAAGTTAGTCAAGTTAGTCAAAGAAGGAAGTGGGGAATTTTCTAAATAGAAGAAATGATGTGTTTAAAAACACTAAGAGATGAAGCTGCTTGGACATGTTTGGGATGCAGGAGGACTTAAAGTTTGGTATAGATCGCAAGACTTGAATGTGCAGAGAGGGAAATTAAAGAGGAATCCAGAATGTCTCTAAGTGATGGCTGGCACCACAGGGAATATAGGAAGAGGGACAAGCTGGGGAAGGGTGGGGGATAAATTTTAGGATTTTGAGTTTGGGTTTCCTGTGGGACATTTTATTAGTCCGTTTGAGTTACAGATCTCGAATTACAGAAAGAAATTTGAGTTGGAGGGCTTCCCTGGACACACAGGGGGTTAAGTCTCAGTACGATGAAGCTATCTGCAGCCACTGCAGCAGCACAAGTTTGATTCCCGGCCAGGGAGGTGACCCACATGTCACAGCAGACCTCTCCTGTCTTGCCTACTCACCCACTGCTCCCCTCAGCAGTGTATTTCAGTAGATCTGCCTCCTCTTCTTTTTTTTTTTTAATTAATTAATTTATACAAGTACTGGGTATAGTCAGAAGTGCGGGAGGGTGAGAGAATTCACCAGAGCCAGAGCGGAGAACAGAACAGGCAGACTAACGAAATACAATGCTGAGGGGAGCAGCGGGCATGGCAGGAGAGGTCTGCGCGCCATGTGGGACACTTGCCCGGTGGCCAGGGATCAAACCAGCGCTGCAAAGGCTGCGGGCAGCTTTACAACCCAGCGTTCAACTGCTGTGCCACTGAGGAGGCCCAGATCTGCCTGTTCTGTGCCCCACTCTGTCTCTGGTGAATCCTCTCACCTCTCCCTTTCTCCCCCGGCATCTCTGGTCTGCACCCCAGCTCTTGTATGCATAAATAAATAAACCTTTTTTTAAAAAAAAAAGAAATTTGAGTTGGAGATATAGATTAGAGAATTAGGAGTTTTAGGATGGTAGACAAAGCCAAGATTTTGGATGACGCCATCTAGGGTTTGTACAGAAAGTGGAAAATGAAGCAAAACAAGGGTGGGACCAATAAGGGGTAGTAGAGAAAGAAAGGCCTCAAAACATACTGAAGAATTGTGATAATTGAGTTCTGAGGTTGTTCCATGCTCAACATTCTTAGGCCTTTGTGTTCTAGAGAGAATATAAGGCAAAAAATAAGGTAAGATTTACCACTCCTGCAAATTTGAGTTACCTATGTTCCTTGTAAACAAGATGGAAGCAAATGATGCGTTGTGCTAGTTACTTGTTTAATCTTCTGTTATTTAATTACTACCTTTTGAAGTAAGTTGTATTATCTTTCCTTTAGAGATAAGAACATTTGAACTTTAGAGACTTTAGTTAACTTACCCAAAGTCAGTAATTAGAAGAGCACACAGGGCTTTTAATTGAGAATCTGACATATTTTTTCCACTTATACGATGACCATCTTAGAGATACTTGAGCTAAACCTGAAGGATTGGATAGATTTGTATAGGTGACCATGGAAATAGAATATAGGGAGTAGAGTTAAGAAGAGTCAAGAGCTAGGTAAAGCATAAAGCAATGTGACATGTAGTGACTGGTTTTGCTTAATCATGAAGTATAAGTTAAAAAGATGTGGTTACAGCAAACTTAACCTTTGTATGGCAAAGAATTTGGGACTTTTTATATGAGGGAGTCAGAAGGTTATATCTTATACTGTTGTTTTTTTCTATTACATAAAATGTTCATTGTAGAAAATGTAGAAAACAAAGGAAAAAGTACAATATAAAAATAAATTATCCATGATCCAACTAGCCAGAGATAATTATTATTACCATTTTGGAGTGTTTCCTTTGGAGTATTTCCCCCCTCCTTTATGTCTTTGTGTATTGGTGTATCTAAAAAGGGAGGGCAAAAAAAAAATTTAAAAAAATAATAAAAAGGGAGGGCATGTGTATTTTACATACTTACATAATTTATAAAACTAGTATTATACAGTGCACTGTTTTATAATCTGCTTTTTAAACCTAATAATATGTCATGAAAATCTTTGTTTCATCTAAGCGTTATGAAAATTAAATATGCAGTATATAGGGTGAATTTTGGGAGTACAGAAATTTAAAAAACTACTGTAGTAGTACAGGCAAGAGGTAATAAAGGCCTGAATTAGGGTGATGTCAGTAAGCTTAAGAAAACTGCTGAGGTACATGCAGTATTTTTGGCAACTAATGGGATAAGGGTGTGTTCAAAGATGAAACAAGGGTTTCCTGCCCAGAGTCATTAGGAAAAAGGAGACATATGGAAAGGAACAGTTTTAAACAGGTAAAGGATGATTACTTCAGCTTTGTATGACCTGAATTGGAGGGTTTCCATTGGACATTTAGGTGGAGACTTTCTATGGTAATTGCAGCTACTATTGATAATCTGTTACATGCTGGATATTGTTTTAAGTCCTTGATGTTGTTAATCTTCCCAACATCCTATGAGACAGATCTTCCTTTTATTGGTATAGAAACTTAGATTCAAAAAAGTAACTTTCTTGGGCATCCCTGGTGGCACAGAAAGTAAAGTCTTAGCCTATGGCCTGCCACTGCAAGTTGAGTTCCATCCCTGGCCAGGGAGTTGACCCGCATGGCATAGCAGGCCTCTCCTGTCTCACCTACTGCTCTCTCAGCAGTGTAATTCAGTAGATCTGCCTGTTCTGCTTCCCACTCTGTCTCTGGTGAATCCTCTCACCGCCACCTGCCCCCCCCATCCTCCCCCCCCTCCCGCCCCAGATCCCAGTTCTTATATGCATAAATAAATACAAATAAATCTTTTTTTCAAAAAAAGAAACTTTCTCATGGTTGGACTTTCTATCTCACTCCAAAGCTCTTTCCTCTAGCTTGGAGACATGGGTCTAGATTTCTGAGAAACTTTGTTTGCAGGCAGTTAGAACAAAGATGATTGTTGAAACCATAGAAGTAACTAAGTATACTAATTAAAATAATATAGGTAATAAAATGAGTGCTATGAACAGATCTTAGATCCTGTCTCTGTTGTAGGGGTGAGAACAAGAATTTTGAGAAGGAGGGTTGAGAGATGTGGAGAAATGCAGGGCCCTGGAATCTGAAGGAGAGTAGAAGGCCTGCATTGTATCAGGCATGAGATAAAATCTCAGTTTAGTTCTTATTGTTAACTGATGGCAACATTTCTCTAGCTGGCATAATTTTGCCCCCTTAGAGACATTTTTGGTTGTCACATGTAGAAGGCAGAAGCCAGGGATGTTGCTAAGCACCCTGCAGTGCACTGCACAGCTCCACGCAACAAGAAATTATTTGACCCAAACTATCAGTAGTGCGGAAGTTGAGAAGCCCTGCCATATAGTATGTTAGCTCAATTTTATAAATGAGGAAACCAAGAGAAATTAGGTAACTTGGTCATATACCAAGTAAATGGCAAATTAGGATTTGCGCTCATGTCAGAAAGATTTT